AGTAGCTGAAGAGGCAAAGATTTTAGAGTAGTTAAGTTTTGTAAAAAGAATTGTTGTGAATGCTAGGATAAGTTTTTTAAGAGTTTCTTCGAGTATATCAAAAGGAATAGTAATTGCTTTGTCAGTATTGAGGTTAGTTTTTTAGATAAATTCAGTAAGAAATTTAGGTTTGTCTTCAGCCATTTTGTGAATAATATAGTAAAAGCTAGCTTTAAGAGCCTTTTGTTTGGGAGTTTAAGGTTTGATTTCTTTACCAGGATAGAAATCATGTAGATAAAATTTAAAAAAATTGAAAATTTTTCTTGAAAATTCTGTTTGGAGTTGTGATTTATCTTTCATATCATCTGAGATTAGAAAATTAGTCAGCTAGTCAAATGTTCGATTAGCTTTAATTTTTAGTTGATTGTTAGTAGTATTAGTTAGTGTTGGCTGTTGTTGTTGGTTATTTGTTTGTTGTTGTTGTTGCTGTTATTGTTGTTGTTGTTGTTCTTGAGAATAAGGTGGGTTTTGGTATAATGGTTGTTGTTGTTAGAATTGTTATTGGTTATTGTTATTAATAATGTTGTTATCCAGATCCATATCATTTGTAGTAATGTTATTGTTGTTAGGTGAGATTGTAAAGGTAAGTTCGAATGCAAGTGGATTGTAGGAGTTAATTGATTGTTAAAGTTTTTGAATGAATGTGGGTGAAGAGCTTGATTGTTGAGTGAATTATTGTGTATTTGTGCAGGCTTTGTAGTAAGGTTTATCATTATGCAAAGTAGCATCAGTTGCCAGGTAATGTTGGTTGTTCATTTCTTTACAGACAATGGGTAGGCTACATTTAGCACAGAGGTGGTTATGTATGTTAGGAGAGTGTGATGCAGTAGGTGATGGTGGAACAAATTTAGTAGAATTTGCAATTGTGTTTGCTAGAGTTTTTAGATTTTTAAGTTTTTTAATAACATTTGTGGTTTCATGTTGTTTGTAGGTTTAATTGGTTGTTGAGATAAAATGTGTATGATATTTGCCACAAAAACATGTGACAACAGAGCTGGATTCGGGTGCTTTAAAGTAATAACTGCATTTGGTACTTCCTCTAAGTTCAGTAATGTTGCAGTTTTTTGGTTGTTTGTTGGCAGAAATAGGACGAGATGAAGTTGGTACATTCTTATGGATACCGATTCCAAAGCTCTTAGGACACTTCTGATAAAAGTAGTCAAGATCAATAATATCAGGTACACTTGTTACAGGGGTTGGCATCTTGATCTAAAAATAGATTGTTAAATGTTTTTGGAAAAAATTTGTTTCATTTAAGGGTTTCTAGACTAATTAGAAAAGTTTGGAAAAGAGTTTAGGTTACAGATAAGCTGATTGGGTGTTTAGAAAATTCTAATGGGTCCCAGAAAAGTGAATTTTCTAGGTTAACCCAACAAGTTTTCCTAAGATTGCCAATAAAAAAACCTGCAAAGAGCAAGTTTTTGTTTTCACATTTTGCTTGTATCTCTATGAATTTTGGTCCGGTTTTAATGATTTATATATCAAAATGTCCAGCTCAGTGAGTTGAACAACTTTTGAATAGGTAAAAAGATAGATTTTATTAGTAAAATATGTGTAAATAGACAAAAACCAAAAACATGGTTTTGGAACTTTTCTCAACAGCCAGATTTTATTGAGAAATAAAACACAGCCGCCTAGAAGGAGAAAAGTGTGCTAGACAACTTTACTTAAGAGGTCAAGTAAGATTTACTTAATAGAATGTTGAGAAATAATCAAATGTCTTTTTTGTAGTTTTGGTATAAGTGATCTACAGAAAGAGTTGCTTTCCTACCAACTTTTATATATTATACTTAATAATTAAGTTTTAATAAAATTAATATAATTTTTTTTAGAAATAAACAGCCAAATTAAAGTTTTATTTGAAAGTTGATGAAAAAAAATTTATCATCTTGTTATTGTATTGGCATATCTTTTAGATTCACAATATTATAGTCGAAAGCTTATTACTAATAGTATGCCAATAATCTCACAATTTGTTTAAAAATATTATCCAAACAATGCAAATATTATCTGGAAACAATTAATTGAATATAAAACAAAGACAGGTATATTTAACTTTCAATTAGCATAGATACAGTTAATGATATTAATTTTATTGCTTGGTAAAAAAGTAATTTTGAAACCTTAGTACCTAAATTATGTAAAGTCTTTATTTAAATTCTTGCAATTCCTTTATTATTAGTAGCATCAGAACATAATTGGTCAGCTTTTTACTATATTTAAGAAAAAAAAGAGCTAGATTGACTAATGAATAGGTTTTAAAATTAGTATATATATATAGCAACTATAAACTTACTTGTTTATGACAAGAGTCTTCTGATATGATAAATGCAATAATATAATTTAATAATAGACTAACAAAAAATGAAAAAGATATTAAGTTATTAGATCCAATGAAAGATGCAAATGATTCATATGAAGAAATCTTGTTAGAAAGTGAAAGTGAAGAATTGTTTGAATTAGATGCTAAAAAAACTAATTGTGAAACAGATAGTACAAAGAGTGAACATAAATAGTATTATTTGCAATTAATATATAAAACCAAATATTATATGTTCTTAATGCATAATGAATTATTGTTATATACAAAAAATATTAGTATAAATAAAGTATTAAATACTCAAAGATTTTTTTTATATTGATTAGTTTTATTAATTAAATTTTGTATTGATTAGTTTTATTAATTAAATTTTGTATCAATCAGTTTTATTTATTAATTAAATTTTATATCGATCAAATTTTGTAAGTAAATTTATTTTTATCAAAATTTAATTAATATTAATCACATGCATCATGCACATCATGATTATCATATGCATTTTTGTATAATACACATCACATTCTCAAAATGCTACATTTTGCTCATCTCTAGGTAGAATTGAATAAAAAAAGTATATCTTAAATAAGTAATATGTTGAACAATAATATGATTAAAGAAATAACATATTATTTGCTTTACTTAAAAAATAGCTATAATATTTGTTAATATTCAAAGACAACTTTTGAATTTATGTTTTTTTTTTTTTAATAGTTTATGATAATCAAGTCTTATTCTGAAAATATAATTAGACAGGGATTGAAATTAGTAGCTTAACCTGTCATAGATTACAAACATACTAAAAATTGAAAAGTATTTTTTATCAATTAAGAACTATTATATTGTTATCATATTTAGTATACATTATTTTGCTAACAAAGTTTACTGTTATTTTTACTTTAAAAACATATTTTGTCTTTGTATGTGTTTTGTTAATAAAACAGACCATGAAATATCATTAATAAATTATGCTACATGTCAATTAATAAAAATTTTCACACAAAAACTCTTTCCATAAATCATTTTTAAACAAAATAACTAAAAATCCGTCAGTACTAAAATCGTTAATATCTGATTATTTTATTAAGATAACTAACTTTGGCGTCTTAAGTAAACATATTCAGCTACTAATTTTACATATATTCTGAAAGTTTTAAAGAAATAGTTCTCAAATTCGCAGTTTAACACTGCAATAATGACCTTTGGGCTTTTAAACTCTTTCTTTAATTATTTCTCAATACTAGCTTTACAACCTAATCTATAGTCCTAATAAAAGTTGTAGAGCTCATTTCTTCGATCAAAACAAGGTCTAAACGAACTCAATAGGCCTAATATTAACAGAGATATCTTAAAAAATAGCTTTAACTCTCTTGTAAACTCCTTAAAAAATTCTTTTTCATTTACCCCCAACTTTTTTTTCTCTTACACGATTTATGTGTAACATTAAATCATTATTACAATCATTTTTATAGTAACCCAATTAATATTACTTAAAATAGTATACAATTTCTTATTGGTTTTTCTTCTTGTACTAATTTGACTTTGTATACTATTACAAGGCTTTTTTGGGACGTGTAACTAATTGTAACATTAAGCCACACTTGTCACACCAGCCACACCTTGTACTATATAGGTTATACAAAATTGTTCTTAAGGTTACACAAAGCACAGCAGCCGCAGTAGCCGTAATATTATATCATACCCCTGTCAAGCCAACTCTTGCTGTTATAAATCTTATATATTAAAAACTTTAATAGTTAATAACAAAAAATTTTATTAAGTAACATTAACTTTCATCCTTAAATATACCTGTAGTATTTTTCTTTCTTTATCAAATAGAATGTCTATCTTAATTTTCCAAGAGCCAGATCATTTTGATCTTGACTATTTCTATAACAAGTATAATGATCGTTATAGTACAATGATTAGAGAAGTGCAACCTATACAACTTAAAGTGATGCCATTCACATTTAATTTATCTGAATACAATATTGCCAAATCTCTTTATTACTTTAAAACTCCTACTCAACCTACTATTGTCTGCTGTTATTGCCAAAAATTCTATACACTCTTCACTTCTAGCAATCTTAACATTCTACCTAGACAAGCTACTTCTTCTTCTTCTTCTCAAAAATTTCATACACTCTTCACTTCTAGCAATCTTAACATTCCACCTAGACAAGCTACTCCTCCTCCTTTTTCTCAAAAATGCACATATATGGATATTGATATCATACCTAAACAAGTCAAACAACTTAAAGAAATTATCTCTCAATCACCTATTACAAAAACAACTACTGTTCTCCCATTACTATTCCCTTTAAACTATTCTACAACTCAACAAGGAATCTTATCTAGTTCAAAACAAACTTCTCAAATCCAAGCACATTCTCATCATGCACATACTTGTATTATTTGTTAAAATAAAAACATCTTATATGCTTTTTTAGAAAACAATATACATTCACTTCTTGACAAATCTATCCTTATTATCAAAGAATTTCTAGCACATCCTAAATGTATTCATAAACTTAAACTTAAACCTATTACTCAAACCAAACCACTTACTCCTACATAAATCCAAACTGCTCTTGTAATCAAATTTATTATATTATCTAAAGAAGAGAAAATTTTAATTTTCAAAAAATTCTTAGGATTATTAAAACAAAACAAAATCAACAAAATCAACAAAAAACAACAAAACTTATATCAAAAACAACCTATTACCAAAAATTCTCTTACTTCTAAACTTATACCTCTTACTTCTACTACAGACGAAACAAATGATAACGAACAACAACAACAATACCAAAAACCTAATGAACAATCCTATAGTCAAGCAGCAAGACCTAAACTTAATCTATTATTTGACTAGTTAGCAAATTTTCCAGTCACCGATGAAATGCAAAACCATACAAAATTAGAAACTGAAATATCATGTCAACTCTTTAATTTCCTTAAAGAACACTTATACAATTTTTATTCTAGTAAAGTCCTTAAAGAAGCCCATAAACTAAAGATGTACTTAAAGCTAGTTTCTATTTGTTGATTAGACAAATGGCTGGTACTAGACTAAAATTTCTTATTGACCTAATCCAAAAACATAATTCTGAAACAGATAAAGCTGCAACAATTCCTTTCAACATTTTAGAAGAAAGTCTTAAAAAACTTATTCATACATTCACAACTGTTTTCTTTACTAAACTCAATTATCCTGAAATATTTGCCTCTCCTGCAACAATTCCACCAATTAAAACTGAAAACCGCTTACAATTTTGTCTCAATCTCGCTCGTTTACATCTATATCTTTCTAATAACTATCAAGCAATCAACTATACAAAATTTGCTGAAGATATTAAACTTAGACCTAAAAGGTTTAAAATAACATCTGAAGTTACTGATTTTGACAAAGAACAACAATATCTTTCTATCAAAATAAATAACTGCTTCAATATCAAACTGAATTTTAACCTTCCGAAATCTCTTTTCCTTGACAAATATAATATACCATCACTTAAAAACTCACTTAGTCATTTTAATGAATGGTTTGAAAAAGCCTTTCTATTATATAGCCAACAATTTTCTAATACAATTAACAAAACTAAAGTATCTAACTACCTTAAATATGAATTTAGACAACACTTTATTTCACATCTCAAAAACCTTTTGCCAACTAATATTGAATTCATAAAACCAACTAATCTACAAGAACGATGTCATGAAACCTTTAGACATGCCAACTATCATATCCTTACTTGTATAAACTCCAAATGCCCTTATCTTGAACCAACTGATACAAAAGGAAAAACAAAAGAAGCTGACACAAATTCAAAGAAAACCTTCATACCACAACCTATACACAACTCATCTACACTCATTAAAGATATATTTGAAACATCTTACAAAACCCACCCTAAAGAAGATACTGAATCATGGAATGAGCCTTTCCTTGATGCAACTATATTCTATATTAAAGGCAAACACGAAGCTACATTTACAAAACCAATCTCTACTTCAACCCTTGATGAACTGGCAACAAAGGCAGAAGAGTACACTTGTTCTTTTAATGCTGTCAAAACTAATCCTAAATGACGAGGCTTTTATTTCTACTAATATTTATCTATATACTATAATACTGCTACTCAAAATCATCATATTGACAAAATGAATAAACAACAAGCCATCGAATTTCTCACAGCAAAATTAATTGATACTGACTTCCTAGCTTGAGTCATTACATATTTTGATTGCACACAAGGCAATTCTCCAAATTACTCTGAAATAACCAAATTCTATAAAGAAAAAGCCTTACCAGAGGCAGAAACAATTCTTC